GTCTAATGATATTAGCATGCTAAAATAAACATGATTTGTTATACAACAAGCACATTTTGTACCAAAAAAAAAACATAAACAAACACTTGATAAAAAAAAAAGGTTATTTGTAAAAATACGGGTTAAAGAAAGAACATAGGGGGGCACATTTGCTCGCAAGTCGAATTTCATTAGGGACACATTTGATCTATTTTTTTTTTCTCTAGATGTGATAATACATGATTTTGACAAAATCAATAACTTTTTAGGAGCACATTCGCCCATTTGGTAGCATTTTTTGAGATTTTTCTGAAGCCTTTTGGTCCTAGTAATAAACACTCCAATTCTTCTTAGATAATATTTTGTATTCAAATCTTTATCCTGTTATAGAATTGATCCGATTTGACTTCAGATTAATCGAAACCCAAAATGACTATTTGATACTAGAAGATTATACATCAAAAAATTTATTTTGTAAAATGTACATCCCAAATTAGGGGGCCTCAAAGTGACTATTAAAGTTTATACACCAAACCCCCTTTTGTTGCTGCATGTACATCCCATATGACAAAATAATTATTTGATGTACCAATGATTAACGCCCTTGTGCCCTGGCGGAAAAATCACAAATGACAAATATATATATATATATATATATATATATATATATATATATATACTAGGGGGGAGTGCCCGCGCATCTCGCGGGTGTTTGGTCCCTGTGGGAAAGAAGATTTTTTTGTTGAACAAACAATAGCACATTGTGAGAAGAAATAAAATTTAGTATGAAAAGATAAACGATATAATCAATCAATTCACACAGCGTTACAATAAAACTGTGTCAAATTGAAGGTCGTTGATAATGCAGAAAGGCAGAGCAACACAGAAAGCTAACCTTATTCTAAAATCCCCACCGAGAGCTCTTACTTACTGTTGCTCCAAACCTATAAGATTATAACCAACTCAGACCAATTGGGGTTAGGCAACGCGATAAGAGTTGCTAATTGTAGGTACTAAGAACACACTGACAAAATTAAGAGAGGAACTGAAAAATTTGGGAGGGGGTGAAATCTAACCTCACGCTGAACCACCAGGAGTAGCTGGGACTGAAGAGCATTCTGAGCTGATTAGTATGAAGTCAGGTAGAATTATCCCAATCCTAGAATGCGAACAAGGATAAACTGATAATCAACTGTTTAGGCATTAACATACCAATGGTTCGGCAATTAAATTGGGTGTAATTAATGACGAAATAATAGGTAATTTCAGAGTTGAGATTGGATGGAAGAGAAAACAATGAGGCAAATCGTTGTAGACAAAGACAAAAAGGGAAAACTTAACTCCTGAAGTTGAAAGGGGATAAACTGACCAACGTTTGTGGCTCATAAATGCAGATTATAAATGATAGAAAAATGGGTTCCTACCATTGATAGAGAAATCGTTGGCTCATTTCCTAAATCCGATTGCCATGCAAATGTTTCAGACAAAACAACATCTCAAACGGTTATCTGTGGCTGAAAAGGGGAATTATTGATAGTTAAGAGATATTCCGGTAATTACACCAACACACAAGCATATATGGGTTGTACAAAATGCAAAAACGGTTGCACACTAATTACACATTCTATCAATACCCAGATGGCTCATCAATGACAACTTTAAATGTATTAAAATGGGGTCATTTCAGTAAACATACCAAAATACATGCTTCCTTAACTTGTACCTAAAAGTTTTAAACTAATACACAACATTTCACATTCCCAGAAAGCCCCCACCTATGCGGTTGAAATTCAATCTATTCTTTGACCAAAACTCAATCTTATACTCCCTCCGTCCCATTTTGTTAGTCTTGTTTTCCTTTTTCGCCTGTCCCAAATTGTAGTCCACTTTCCCATTAAGTAATGTAGTAATCTTTCAAATTGTCTAAAATACCCTTATTAAATATCTTGTTATTAATACATTGTTATTAAATACTAACCCACTACATTGAATACATTGAGCTTTTCCAATACATAGATAAATGAAAAGTCTATCTTTGTTATTCTTTGAAATTTATTTATATCAGGAGGGAAACAAATAATGCCATCATTATTTACAAAATCATGAGTGAAATTTTGAAAAACCATCCATATTCTCACAATTTTTCTGATGAAACACCAACAAAATAATACGATCTCATCTCAACGAGTCAAGAATGTGCACAAGTTGTCTTTGAAATGCAGAGGATTTTTTTGCCCAAGTTGAAATCGGTGAAGCCATCAATTGACGTAAATGTTCCATCACAAGAAGATACTTTTGCTCCTACAACTGAAGAGCATGAATCTACTTTTTCTCAAGTGCAAGAATATTTTCAGCCCAAGTTCAAATCGGTGAGACCATTATTGGATTTAAATACTCTACCAAAAGAAGATGGCTATGTATCTGCTTCTCAAGAACGTAAGCGTGTTGTTTCTCAAATGTTGAATCCACTATTGGCGGATGATTGAAAATGAAATGGAGTATTAGGCGCCTGAAATGGATTATGAAATGGAGTATTAGCCGCAACTGATATTTATTGGCACTATTGGCGGTAATTGAAACAATCAGGGTGCACTATTGGCGGTAACTGATATTTATTGGTACCATTAGTTGTAACTGATATTAATTGGCACTCTTCGTGATTAGCATAAGGGTATTTTAGGAAATTATTAATCTAAATTTATGTTTCCAACCAAATTAATTACACTTTCTTAATCTGTGTGAAAAAAAAATCAAGACTAACAAAATGGGACGGAGGGAGTATAGTATAAGGATCATAGTTATTAAACCCGGCCCGGCCCGGCGGTCGAACCGGTCAAACCGGTGGACCGGTCATTAGACCGGGCCGGGTTTGGAATCAGATCGTTTGTACAAAGAGACCGTTGACTTAGTCAATAACCCGGCGGTCGAACCGGATTAAACCGGAAACCCGGCCGGTTTTGGCCGGTTTTGTCACTAACCGGATTTTGTGGAAAAATTATATTGCTATTGTTGGAACTCGAACTTCGGACCTCTGCCCCAACACTACCGCCTGCTTACCACCAAACTACTTCCAAATATGTTGATATAGTAGCTTTATTATGATATATAAATGGTTTTTCAATTCTATCTTTTTTTCTCTAAAACAAATTTATTTGGAATCTTTTAATAAAAATTTATTACCCTCCAAACTCTATAAGTTATAAAATGGATTCCAAAAATAACATATTACATGATTCATTTAAAGACAAATATTATTTTTAATAATTTTTTACACTTAAAATTCATAAATAAGCTAGATAATTACACTAAATATAGATAAAATTTTACACTTGAAGTTTGGTATATTAATAAATAACTTTATATTTGATTGATTCTTATATGAATTAATTATTTTATAACAAATTAAATTAAATGAGCTTTTGTTATGGCATTATTTACTATAATTTATATCATATATCTTATATAAATAATTATGAAAATATAATATTTAAATATATGTAGTGACCCACCGGTTCAACCACTCACCCACCGGTTCAACCACTCACCCACCGGTTCAACCAGTAACCCGTTGACCCACCTCCTTCGCCGGGTTCCTTCCCGGGTTGGGTTTAATAACTATGATAAGGATATATAGACACACACTACTAGAGGAGCGCATAAGAGCTCTAGAACTATTTAAAGGGGAAAATCATCTAAACCAGCGATGCAATAAGACACTCTTAAGATTTTTTCTTTTTTTTTTTAAGGCAGGAAAGGGGGTTTTAAAACCCCTGGCGAGAGAGAGAGATATATCTCTTCTCTAACTACATAAGGCGTCGAAGGTCTTGCTACAGTGATTTCGCTGGTTATTTTGTAATTTGGCTGTTCGATTTGTCCTTCTTTGCCCTGTGGTCCAATATGTAGCCGTCAACGTCCTCTGCTCTCAATCTGTGCCCGTGAAGGTGTGAAGCTCCAGTTACAAGTTATAAATCAATTGTCCGGCTTTGTTCTATTAAATCAAGCCCTCTTCATTATTAAATTAAAGCTGCTCACTTGTTCGATTAAAGGTATTGCGTCGCTTTGTTCCATTAAATCAACCTCTCTCAATTATTAAATTAAAGCTATTGTGTTTTTAGATTGAGTAGCATAGCATAAATGTGCTCAATACAAAGTGATAATTAGTTGTGTGCCTTATTAAATTAAATCTAATTAGAGCTTTTGTGTATAAGATTGATCTCTCAATTATTAAATTAAAGCTACTCAATTATGAAATTAAAGCTATTGCATTTTCAGATTGAATAGCATAACATAAATGTGCTCGATACAAAGTGATAATTAGTTTTGTGACTTATTAAATTAAAGCTAATTAGAACTTTTGTGTATAAGATTGATAATATTTGTTAGCTATTGTTAGCTTTAAGATTGAATATCATAATATAACGTATATGTGCTCAATACAAAATGATAATTAGTTGTATACCTTATTAAATCCATTAAATTAAACTCTCTCGATTATTAAATTAAAGCTACTCATCAGATCTTACATGGTTCTTCTTTGTTCCTTTCACATTACGTGGCGCAATTCTCCTTTGAGTGTGTCAAATTTTGCCTGACGTGTTGCATGGTTACAAATTACACAGTCAAATTTTCCCTTACGTGTTGCATGCTTACAGATTACACCTTGCAGATTGCACTGGGTCAAATTTCATCTTACGTGCTTACAGCTTACGCATTACAGCTATATTTGGTTCGTTCGGTGATTACAGATATGCTTGCTTCGTTTGGTTCTTTTATCATAGTGGACTTGCAATCATTACGTGGATTTAATGCATGCATGTGCTTGCTTTTACCAAAGCACAGGCTCTTTGTATAGTTAAGCACTCTGTGTGCTATATCTACATTAGCTTTTCCACCGTCAGTTTCTTTGCTTTGACTTTCTCTACGTGCATACCAGCAACTATTATAATGTTTTAGAGATGTTTCTCTTTTGTCCTGCGTCTTTCTGTTAAGCCTCCATCTTGTGCCAGCTTTTGGTGATTTTTGTTTCCAGTTTCCTCGTTCTCGCTCGCTTCAATCAGGTGCTGCCTGTTTTCCTTTACTGTATTTCTCCACTTTTGCGCCTAATATAGCTGTTTATTACGTTGTTCCTTCGCTGAACTTTTTGCTCTTTCACTGTGTTTGTTTATTTTTGTTTCGTATGCTTCAGATTATGCTTTTATCATTTTCTCTTCCCCATCATTTCCATTTCTTTGTTGCAAGTTTTTAGTTTGCATGGACTCTGACTTTTCTTATGTTAGCTGCTTCCATGTTATATTTATCTTTTCTGTGATCTTATCGGTTTATTCCATGCAGCTCAGCTCAACCATCCTATTCGAAGCTTATTGTTCAGGTAAAGCAATCTCTCTTTTACTTATTTGTTCCTCATCTGCTTAGTGCTTAGCCTGTTCTACTTCGTTGTGTTTTATTTTCTATGTTTGTTATCGTTTTGCTTATTAAATGGTAATCATCTCTTTCATTCACGCTTGTTTTGTCTCCTCCAAGAAACTTTAGATGATTTATGATTGTGATTGTTGGATGTCATGGATAACAGAATTTTCTTAATTTTAGCTACAATTGCATATGGGTCGGAAACGTAAATTTTCCTCAGAAGATAAGAAAAATATCTATATGAGTCAATATTCTAACTCTCAATCTATATTACATCAAAAACTAAACTAAACAGTTTACATTCCAGTTGGATGTAAAACAAAAAATTGTACTTTTTGTTTACGAATCATAGCAGCTTTCTAGAATTTTGTTCTGTACAAATAACAACTAACTTTTGTATTAAGCTGCAATTCCCAATGATCATGTATATATAAAAAACGCATGGTTTCTACTTTCCTGTTTATAATCCATCTCTTATACAAACATCTTCTTTACAAAAAAACCATCAGTTAACACTCACCAACAAGATAATATGGGCACCCCGCGACACCCGCGGGGTCCAACACCTAGTATATCTCTAACTACATAAAGCGCCGAAGGCCTCGCTACAGTGATTTTCGCCGGTTATTTTGTAATTTCGGTGTTCATTTTTTCTCTTTTGTCCGCTGGTGCAATTCTCCATCCACGTCCTCTTTTGTCCGCTGCTTCAATTCTCCTTCCACTCCGGTTATTTTGTAATTTCAGTGTTGATTTTGTCCTCTTTTGTGCTGGTCTCTTCGTAATTTCCCTATCAATTTTGTACCTTGTGGTCTTTAGATGTCATCTCATTTAATTATTGTTTCTTTGGTTTTGTTTGTTCCAGTTGCTACCTTCCATTCCCAAGTGCAGCACGAATTTTTAGGGCTATACAAATCTATATATATTATTGCATCCTATTTGTGTGCCTTTATCTATATATATATATATATATATATATATTTATTTATTTATTTATTTATTTATTTATTTATTTATTTTCTCCAAAATATATATATCGACAAAAATAATGATTTTCTGAAAAATATATATATATTGACAGAAATTTTGTGCATATCTAATAAATATAAATCAATTGTGCCACTTTGTATTAGCTTCCACTAATACGACCAATTGTTTTTAAAAATATAGGATAATTTCCCTCTATTTCAAAAATGTTACTTCGATAATATTTGTTAACTACTGAATTATTAACTTAAAGCTTTTGCATTTTAAGATTGAGTAACATAACATAAATGTGGTCAATACAAAGTGATGATTAATTGTGTGCCTTTTTATATATATTTATTTTCAGCAAAATATATATCGACAAAAATATTGATTTTCTGAAAATTATATATATATATATCGACAAAAATTTTGTGTGTATCTAATAAATATAAATCAATTGTGCCACTTTGTATTAGCTTGCATTATACAACTAATTGTTTTTAAAAATACAAGATAATTTCCCTCTATTTCAAAAATGTTACTTCGATAATATTTCAAAATTTAAAAATATAGCACTGAAAACCAAAATAAAAAAGACAAACTTTTTTCTAAAACTATAAAAAAATATAACCAAACAACTAGAAATTTACATACAAATACTTAAAACCGAACTCCTATATGTATAGCAAAAATATACATGATACAACTCAAAAAAAAAAAATATCGCACTGACACATGAATCACAAGACAAATAGTAACACCACAAATATAACAAACAAACAAAACTAGAAAAGATAGACACGATAAAACAATATTAAACAATCTTACAAGCTCAAATAAAATATTAAATATACATATATATATATATACACGTGTTTAAATAAATAAATAATAAAAATATAACAAACAAACAAACAAAACCCCAAAAAATATAAACAATAAAAAATTAAACCATTATATCTCCTAAAATAAAATACTAAACACACACGCATATATATATATAGATATCCACACATATTACAAAATATATCGTATACCTATATATATATTAATACAAAATTCAGTACAACTTTGAGTACCATAAAATAAGTCACATAAACATCAAACAGTAAATATTTAAAAATTCTACTGTAAATTACAGTGATTAAACTCTATAATTTTCATGTGCAATCATTTCTATTTCTTATAAAAAAAATTTATATGCATCACCTTACTTTCAATAATATCCATTTAGTACTAACCTATTAATATAAAATCTCTTAGCTCTCAAAATTAATATTATCCTTTACTTATTCAGATTCTATTAATTAAAAAAATACAGCTCCCATCTATTTCAATTACATTCATTCATAACTAAATCAATATCATCTTTACTTATAGAAAAAAAACCCACTTAATGAATAAACACATATTTTACCAAGCTATAGTATCAAATTATTCTAAATTATTAATTTATCTCATCACACAACACCCAAACTATATCAAAATTGGCCAAAAAATATCTATTATCCATTTATTTTTCAACAAACTTCCCATTCTTTTTCCATAGACTTTTCCACTGCAACAATGCACACTTACTCATCCTAGCTATCCAAATTATGAAAATATCATTATCCTAGAATACATAAACTACCAACACCCAAAGTACAATAAATTATAACACTCTCAATGCAATTCTCCACCTAATTTTCCATCCTATCAACTTTAAAAAATTAATATATATTCCATTAATTTAAATAATATTTACTTATCACTAAATTAAAATAAAAAAAACAAAATTTTTTGAAACCAATATTATCCATCAAATCTGTAGATCGTATTAATTTTAAAAAACACAATACAAACCACATCAATTTTACTATATCTATTTATAAATAAATCAATCCAATATATCACTTCTCTATCCACTATTCCAACTCTATTATCATACAAGATACTCTAAATCTATGTTATTAAATAAATCTTACATTAGCCTAAGTGCACTCTCAAATTAGGATGTATATATAAAAAAAACACATGCCTTTTGCTTTCCTATTCATAATCTATTTCTTGCACAAACATCTTCTTCATAAATAAACCATCAGTTAGCACTCTTACACTAGATACAATAAATACCAATTTCACATCGCTCTACATTTACATATACTATCTCATATTTGCTTAATCTATAATCACTACTATAATATTCAACAAAATAATAATCCTCTATTTATGATTCTTTCTACTTTATTTTATATTCCTCATCACTCAACAACACTATAATATGGGCACCCCGCGATAGCCGCGGGGTCCAATGCCTAGTATATTCTTAATGAGGCCAATGGTTTAAGTCGATTGTATTAAAGTTTGGTAAGCTTAATAGATACAGATCAAATCAATTGATCATTGTTGAGGAGGGCAAATTGAAATATTGACTTCATTTGGGGGCATTTTGTAATTTATCCTTCCTTAAGTAAGGCTGTAAGGGTAAGGAATTTCGTACCACCGCCTTGCCCTGACCTTCCTTTTCCCGGTTCAAATCAAAGATAGGTCAGTGTTTCTTTTTCTTTTGTTTCCTTTCTTTTTTACTTGCCGTGGCTAAAGAGGGCTCTATGTAAAATATGGAAGATAGGAAGGCTACATGCAGTTCGAACCAGTGCAAGAGATTAAGAACTTGAAAACCCTTCAAACGTTTTTTCATTCAAATTCCTCGAAATTCAGACGTTGTCTTTCTTTCTTTCTTTCTTGTTTGAACATATGGTGCTTCACGCGCGGAGCTGGAAGAACTTTAGCCGCGATTTTGCGGCCAGGAGAATGATGTCAAAAGTCGTTCTTTTTCTTGCTTTTGTTGTGGCAGGAATCGTTTGGGCGTCCATGATTCGCATCGCCTTGTACTCTGACACTTGGGCTTGTCAATCACCATTATCTTGCTTCTCTGGTATGGGGATACACTGACAGTTTGATTTTTTTACTTTTGCCATTTTTATTTGCCTTTTTATACTTTCATGCTGTTGAACTTCTATGTTCGTTTTGTGACTGTTTATCCAACTTCCAGTCACTTCAATTTGTTACAAGAAAGATAGATGGGAAATATGCCATGATCGAGTTGCTTGGGAATTGGGACAAGATTTAGTTTGGAGTGATAATTTGACGAGAATGAGAACATTAATTATGCCCTTCTGTTGCCCATATGTATTGTGACATTAATTAGATGTGGCTTCAATTATTTTGGGTTCTTGTGATGCAGTTATTTGGTCGTCTAGGTGTAGCAAGACATCGAATTTCCCAGATATGATGAGGGGATATGCACCTAAGCCACGAAAACGTTAGGATTCTAAGCTGTCTTTCCTTTTGTTTTTGTCCTTCTTTTTTTGATTTGTGGGTATTACTTATTCATAGCTAATATGATTTTGCTATTTTTAATAGGCTGTCCAATTCCTTTTGCAAAAGACCCAGAGGGGTTAGTCCATTCAAAGGTGAGGAGAACTCCTGACCGACTTGTCAAAGGTTTGTCCTATATTATGGAGGATGAGCCTGATGTGAACAACGGATCTCAATCTCTCCCTCCATTTGGTGGTGGAGGGCAGAAGAGATGGTTCGAAAGGGGGGAAAGTTTCAAGCTTAACACTACCATGAAGGTGAAAGTAATAATACTATTCCAATTAACTCCTTGATCTCCACCATTTCCTTGTGTTAAAGCAATAACAAGATTTGGATTTTCTCTTTCTTGCTTGATGGTTACTGGTTTTGTTAAACTGTCTAGCAAGTGACTTTTTTATTTGTGTCTGTGTGTTGTGGTCGGGTTCGTAGAGATGTTATGAATAGAAATAAAGGAGAACTGTACTAAGGCTTCTTGGAAGGAGAAAAAGCGCAATTATCTTGTAAATGGTATGAATAGAGTTGGTGTTCAGATGATTGATTGGTTATCCTCAACTGTATAAAATAGAAAAGGATTAGCTTCACGCACGGCTTGGGATGAGTCTTACATATGTTCTGGTTCTATAGATCTAAATTCATTTCATTATTCCCCAAAAGCTCATAGTTGCAGCTAATTTTCTCACTGGAATCTAGTATAAAATTCGCATATTGCTGTTTGTATACAGTCTATCTTCCTATCCGTTTTGAGCTTGGGAATAAATTAAAAAGGTAAAAGTTATTACCAGATATTTGACCATTTTGTTGCTTGTTTCAGCGTATGTAACACCTTTAAAGCAAGGCTACTGGTGCATATAATGTCAACTAACTAGTGATTTTGTGATTTCAAGCGTGCATACATTTCTATCATCCTTGCCATGTTGGATGGACCAACTTATGGTGCTATATTGTAATCAGGTTGAATAATTATCTTGACTATATATCATTGGCCCTTTAGGTACATTGTGGATTCACTCGAAGTAGTGGTGCAGGAATGACTATAGCAGATATGCGATATGTTAAAGGATGCAAGTATGTTGTCGCATCTGGCATTTTCAATCCGTATAGCATAATTCACCAGCCTACCAATGTTAGCGTCCATTCCAGGAAGCTATTCTGTTTTGTCATGCTGGTGGATGAGAAAATTCTCAGTTTGATGAAATATAGAGAGACTGTAGAAGAAGATATTCATGGGGGATTACGGGCAGGTATATGGCGCTTAATTCCATTGAAGCATTTACCTTATAATGAAACTAGAAGGAACGAAGAGATTTCCAAGCTCTTAATTCACAGGCTGATCCCCCAAGCTCAGTATAGCATCTGGGTCAGTAGCAAAATGGTGCTAGTGGCAGATCCCTTACTTATTCTTGAGAGGTAGTATGTTCTCACATTCTTCCCAAAACGGTCCTTTTTCCTTCCCTAAGCTGTTCCTAGCCACCATAAATGTATATACGTGTACATTTCTCTTCCAAATAGGTTATTAATTTGTTAAAATATTTTATGGAATTCGTAGATATTTATGGCGTGAAGGGCACTCCTTTGCTATTTCTCAGCATGGCTATCATCATAGCATTTATGAGGAGGCTAACGCAAGCAAGCGCAGAAAGAAATATTCTCGTCCCCGCATTGATGCCCAGATGAAGGTATATCAGAGCGAAGGATTAGAACCATGGAGCACGAAGAAAAGGGTCATCAGTGGTAAGCTGCAAATCATCCATTAACGTTTCAGTTATTATTAGTGATTAAATGTTGTTCTAACATATGAGTAAACAGCAAGAGGTTGTCGAAATGCGTTCATTACAGAGATTGTTTGGTTGGGAAAAAAAATTATGCTTTTTAAGACCTTGACCATGCAACGATTTCTTTTGCTGTGCAGCTGCAAGAATGAGTAATATCCAGTATTTGCTTAATACAATAGAAAGGTCTTAGTTTGTCACCTGAGTTAGTTCGCTATTCGCTTTATAGAATCTCTGACCATTGCTATACAGTCGCCGGTGATTAGTTATCCTCATAGAGAAGAACCAAATTACAGTTGCTTTTGATTTGCAAAAATCCTTGTCTCAACTTTGTGTGAGATTGATTTGATTAGAAGAAACTCATATCATGAGAGATAGCAGTCAGTCGCCATGCCTTCTTGGCCTGTATAACTTTCCATTTCCAAAATGTGATAGATTTTTTCTTTGTTGACATTGCCAAGATGCTGATGCATGTCTTTTGATCTGCAGATGTTCCTGAGGCATCAATTATTATACGGGAGCATACCATGCTGAATAACTTATTTAGTTGCTTGTGGTTTAACGAGGTCCACCTATTTACACCTTTGGACCAACTGAGTTTTGGTTATGTTGCGCACAGGTTGGGGGAAGCATTCAAGTACTTCATGTTTCCATTTTGTGAATTCAATTCATTGTTTGAGTTGCATTCCCACTCCTGGGATCGATTCGAAATGCGATTCGGAGGGGAAATCAATGTTGCTTGAAAGATTTCAAGCAAAGGGGACGATTATGAGCTTTTCTCAATGCCTGTCTTTGGTTATCTTTAGATATGAATGGTTCACCTTCACAATGAATGCTGGCCGAGAGTTAACCATATTTAACAGACCATCTTTTGCTTGTCGACCACCCCTGTTTGGCACTTAGTTTTTTATCAAGTTTGTCTGCTATAAGTTTTTTAAAAACTTTAACTACAGTAACCTCAAAAAAATTTTCAAAATTTTTAAACTATACATTTTAAAGTATTCAAAAATTTACACACTTCAAAATTTTTTTTAAAAATTTCTACAGTAAATTACAGTAAAATTTTAAACAAACACCCAAAAAACTTACTTACCATACGGAGTCAATGTAGTTTTCTAGTTTTCCTGTCAATCGTTGCCAAATCAAGTAACCTCGTAACATTTTACCTCGTAACATTTTACGTTGGTTCACAACACAAACACAATAATTTCTTCAATCAATCCATGATCATGGAGCTAATAGGGAGATGAAACGAAAGGAAACGGAAGCAGATGAAATAGAGGGGAGAGCCATGTAGCATTTACTTTTGTGTGGAGGTTCAAAGTTTCAACTCGCTAAAGTATTATGTGTGTTTACTTTCTCCTTGTGTAAAATAAAGTTGGAAGAACATATTTTAAGCCAGGATTGAATGGATTGTTCTATATCTTCACCTTGCGCGAAGAAAATAGCCCAAACCGGATACAAGGGATGATCCCGAAAGGACCCCCTGTCCCGGCACTAAAAATTTCTTTGATGCGAGGAATTCCATTATCATTCTATTATCAACTGCAGAAAATAGCCCCTTTTTTTTAAAATTATTTTTGGATAGCTAGAATATCTGCCTTGGGCGGGAATAGAGACTTTTTTCCACTTTTGATCCTTACATAAAACTAGTGTACATCATCTATTACAGTAATACAAGAAAAAAATTTTCGTTTGTAACAATAGCTTACCAAAAGAATCAAAATTTGAAGGCATGTGTCTCTCAGCCATCTTTCAATATTTCGCCTATTAGTCCCTTGAGTTTGAATTCTGACTGATACATTTCGCTTCCGAACTTTACATGGTGGGCTGCCAAATATCCCCTCCAAACAATGTATAAAGGAGACGTTCATTTCTCATGAACAAGAGGACTGTAAACAGGATCCCACATATTTCTTTTAACATATTCGACAGTCTCCTCCTGTATCCGATCATATAAAAGCAAGAGTCAGATAAATACAACGGAAAGAAATAGGGGCAAGAATTAGATAAATAGAGGGTATCTTCCAGCGGAGGTATGGGTCAAATGGTTAGCATATGGATAGTTTGTAGAGTACTATCTGTTTAGGTCCCGTCCATTTGCACCCACCTCATAAATGGGTGGAAGTGCATTGCATCAATTTCATCCACAAACCATTTAAGAAAAAGCATTTATAATCCAATTATCAACTTTGACACCTCTCACAAGACTGATCCAACAAAGCGATGGCGATGATTTAGTATCAATTTGGTCAATGGTCCCTGTTGTCATATTTTGTAAATGAGAAATTACCAGAGAGTACATTTTACCTATACAACTTGCTTACAAACTGAATTATGCGGAAATCTGTTAAGAGCTACATGAACTGGCACAAACTTCCTCCAGCTAAATTTGATTAGTGTAAAATCCATTCAAATATGTATAAAACTTCTGAAATAATATTGATGTACGCTTCGATTGACAGATCTCTGAAAACTAGTTTGTCGTCTTTTAACCTGATTGTCAAAAAGGTCAAGAAAACTGCTTACCTTTGACATGCTTACTAGCTCTTTTGTTCCCACATCATGATATCCTTCTGCTAGCTCTTCAGCAACAGCTGCTCGCAAAACTGCTGCTCCAACCTCTGCTGTAATATCCCGAATGCTGCAAGCAGCCCATGAAATCATGAACTCAAAGTATTCAACTACATCGATGAACAGATTAATAGTTTCCAATGCAAACTCCACTTTGTCGTAGCCTATTTTGCCAGGGATAAACAGATTAGTAGTTTCCAGTACTACTTCACTTTTATTGTAGCCTATTTTGCCAGGGCTAAATTTCAAGCGATCTGTAGATACACACTACAACTGTAAATACTGATAAGCTTAATTAGAAAAATTTATTAGCAATGACGACTAAACTGTACATATGCAATTAGATCAATTATGAGAGCCACTTGGTCATCATGGAAGCAAAAAGCCAGTCATTCAGTCATCATATCCCAACATCTGTGAATACAGTAGAAGTTCCATACACAGCTTAGTACGAGGTCAAAAAACAAAGCTTTGCCGAAAACAGAACCTTTTGAATGATTGACAAACTTGCATTCTGGGGGACCTCACTTGCCAATTATATCTTTTCTTTTTTCTTTCATATTAGTTACTTTATAAGAGAGACAGACAAAATATGTGCAGCTTTGATTGCCCACGAAACAGATGAAAATAATTTCCAGGAACCTTTGCAAAATACCTGTCAATAGATGGATACAAGATTCCCCTCTGAATTTCATCATCAGTCATATAAGAAGCAAGGCTGCAGAAGCAAAGGTGTAATAGTTACATGCCCAAAATAACAGGTTTTCTGAGAACAAATTTTCAATTGCAATGTAAAGTAAGGACATGGGTAAATGATAATCTAGAGAAAATAAGATCATATTAAACGTCTGATATTCAAATATCAAAGTGAACTCAAATCTTATATGAGATTCCCTCCCTCTTTCCAATCACCAAAATAAAAAAAGAGCTTAGTTTGCCTAAAAAGAGTTGAATGCCCTTGATTTTCATTCTTTAAACAAAAAATATATAAAAACAAGTCTGATTTTAGAATTTGGCAACAATATAGATAAGGATTTCGACCAAACAGGTTGCAGAAGCTTCTCCACCCAAACACCCCTTAACACCCTAACACCCCCCGGCTCCCCCAGTGAATTAAGCTCATATATAAAAAGCTTCTCCACATATGAGATTTACACGAGTAATTTGGTTGAATGCACGAACTGTCTTGCAGCATTATAGATAAAATGCTTGTAGGACTCTCCCAAAGTCCTGGTAACAATTCAAGCATCAAAACTGAAAAGTTGCAATGACTAAATCCCAAAGAACTAAAAGAAGTGCAGGAGTCTGGATGTTTATAGTGTCAAGTATTAGGAAGCAAACAAGAGCTTTAGATGACAATCATGCAAAGACAATGAACTAAAACTGCAAAGAGGTTCTCAAACTAAATGAACTACCTATTGATTCAAAGTACAAAAACTTCACTAAGCTGCAATTTGAACAAAAGGATAGGCCCGGCTTTCCTCCTTTTCACTTTTATCAACAGAGTTGGTTTTGGCCCCTTGAATTTCTATTTTTGTTAAACAACTAAATGTTTCCAATTGAAGCAAGAAGATGACAATAATGCAAAGAACACTTCATACAAACTTTATCCAGCTTTTACCTTACAATAGGAGCACTGCAGTAAAATACGCTCATCCAGAGCATACGATAAAATGAAACATCAGAAAAAAGAGAAGTTAATTTAAGTATCAATTAATACCATTCTGCAGCTGCTTGCAGCATCCCATCAGTAATAAAGCGAGCACCAGATACAAGAGCTCCCAACCCGATCCTAAATCAGCCCAACACAGAACTTGTAAGAATTTGGCACCCATACGCAAGTATATTTATCATACACAAGTGTAGACATTAGCACATACCCAGGAAACAGGTACATGTTATTTGCTTGATTCACATGGCCAATTTTTCCATTACCTGACAACATAAGCTCATGGTCAGTAAAAAGTTACCATGAAAACACAATCAGCAAAGTAATAGCAGCAAGGATATAAGAATTTAACAGTATTATCAGCTTCAACATTCAGTTTAATGGCTTTGATCATGTAAAAGATGGAATTAATATTTCTCCCACTCTTTAGATATGATGCCTTTCACTTTATTGCTTGAAATGCATTTGCCAAAAAAACTGGAAGCAAATAGGATGCATAACAAGCACTTTGTTCCAAATTAGAATCAAAAGAGTAATACCAAGATCAACATGTTCAAAAGGGCTGCCACTTCCAAAGACTATCTGTTCACCAGCATGCTTGAAAGCATCCCTAGCAGTGCATTCAGCTGCTCCAAAAATGGAAACAACAATTTCTTCAGAATCGCACAGGAAAGTATAACAAGAGGCACCCAGAAGGTCGAGAGACAAACCATTATTGGTAGGATTGGACATTGCAAAAATAGCGGGTTTAATGGAATCAGATTCTCGCATTGCCTTAAGCACCTGATAATTAGGCCAGGAATAAGCTGGTTATATCACAGATATGAATGCACTAATTACATCTCAATACTTTCTTCTGTTATCGCAATACAATGGCATTCTACAGAGTTACACCTTCAGCCGTTTAGTGTTAAATAACCACACATATAATCTGACACCCAAAAGGGTGAGGATTCCATTACAAGGACAACCAGCATCCAGAGATAGGGGAGATTAAATGATAATTGTGACCAAAAGATGGAAAAATGGAATGGGATATAAGACCTATAAAGAGAAACTAATTCAAGTGTGCTAACAGTTCTGAGAACAGAATTGACATCCAACTGCATCTGCCCCCAAGAAAGAACAATACAAGGAAATGATGACCACAATCCAGGTGATAATAAAACTCAGCGGAGAGCTACGCACCTCTTCATTGAAAAGACCTCCAACACCAGACAAACCGAGAAGCACGTGAGGCTTGACCTTTTTGACCTGAACAGAATGAAGTTACATGGAATCTGAATTCATGAAAGAAAGGATGCTGCCCATATTTCTAAGAGAGAGAGAGAGAGAGAGGCTATTACTGATCCGTATTTACCACCACTATCACAATCAAAATCTTGCCAAGAGAAAAGGAAGGATATCTCCTTTTAAAGAGTGTCTCCACTAGAACAGACATTGCATTACAAGTTTAACATTTACCACTTCAATCAGACTTGCTCCCTCTTGAAGTCCAAAGCTCTTGATCTCTTCATGCGTTTTAGCAAATGGAGCAGCTGCTGGATCAATATCATTCCTCTCATTTGTAATTAGACCCTGCATCCATGCAAAGTATTTATTAGACAAGTTTGTACAATTTTTTAACGAAAACAGGATAGTA